TCTGTGTAAATCTTGTAAGGCTTGAAAAGTATTTTTGAGGGCAACGTTGAATTCGTTAAGGCTGGTATGATCTCGAGTTAATGCTGCATCAAACTGTTGAAGTGTAGCTTGTTCAATCGTCCGACGGCTGTTTAGATTCAGTTTTAGCTTGATCACCAGTATGCGGTGATCTGAATCTATATCAGCTCTACTCTTTGTTCTAACGTCATCCATGAGCCTTGTGAATTTTTTATTGATACAGATGTATTTAATCTCATATTCTGTGATGTGGTCCAGGAATTAATCGAACCAAAGTAGAGATGATAGATTATATTTGGTTATATATTTTTATACTTTGTAAACCAAATAGTTTACGAATAATAATGCAGAAGCAGGCTAATATTCATTCTACGCTACTTGAAGATGACTATTAAGGTTGAGTATGAACCTTTGTTAAACTGATGAAAAAAAGTCTATGTCTTATCTCACTGAAAACAACCGAATAGTAATGCATCGTTTTGTCTACACTTAATCTCTATGAAACTGTATTGTATTGAATAACTTATTATTATTGAAGTCCTAACTACCTTGAAACTATCTTATATTTTTGTGGTTTTAACCTATTAATGTCATATATGATCAGAAGTTCACTTCCAAACAGAACTTTATATTCAACATTTACAAATCTAGCAGTGACCATTTCAAACAAAAAAAATTAATCTCGAAAGTTGATTAGTAGAAAGGTATTAAATTTAGACGTTCCGTATTTTTTCATTAAGCAAAACAAGAATTTACTCAGTCACTTGATTTTCAATGATAAATATAAACGATATGTAACTGTCTCTTTTTTAATTTCCCTCTCTTTTAAATTTAGTCATGATTGGTGTAAAACCTGGTACAAATGTGATCAAATTAGGGTCATGTTTTCATACCTTAGTAACACTATAATGAAATTTACAAAATGAATAGTGATAAAAAAATATAAAAAAAATCAAAGTATAGCGACTATAAAGAGAAAGATTAAAAATTCAGAGTACAGTTCGATAAAGATAAAAATAAATGGCATATATGAATAAGTACTACAGAGTAAGATCTAGGGTTTCCTGTTGACTACCTCCAACCACCATCTAGTCTCAATACATAGTGCCCGCAGTGTCGAGTCACCTAGACTGGTGGCCACATTGCAACATGATCGATAGCATTCGATCTGCACTAATAAGGACTAGGCAAGCATGACATTGATCACCACCCAGTGATCAATCAATTGTGAAATATTCAGCATATAATGATAAACATTTTGTGCCAAATAGTTGAAAACAGTTGACAAGAAACCTCTGTTCTCTTTCCATCCTGATTAAGGTTCATATTTGAATCCTTTAGAAACACAATAGCCTTTCCAGAGATTTGAAACCAAGTCAACTAGTTCCTCAGTCACATATTGTCACTGAGTTAAATACTGTAGGACTGATATCTTAATACATTAACTCGTATAACAGAACCATATATCTACACTTATACTGTATACATTATGAAGTTAGGTCGTTATGAACTTATTTACAGCAAGTTTTTTTATGAGCCTTACAACAGTAGCAGACGCCTCTGTGCCACTGGGCCTCATCATACACAAGGGAAAAAGCAAGATCCTCAAATACAATACGAAGAACACCAACCCAATCACACGATGGAGAAGCTCTGGAAGATATAGAATCTTTCACGTACCTGTGGTGCGTCATCAATGGACAAGGAGAATAGGATGGAGACGTAAAGGCGAGGATTGGCAAAGCAAGGACGGCATTTCTACAGTTGAAGAACATATATAATTTAACGCAACTGTCAACCAATATCAAAGTCAGAATGTTCAATACGAACGTCAAGACAGTCCTACTATACGGAGGGGTAACAGGCGTAAGTAAGTAAGTTTACAACAGTAACTTAACGGTGTACCATTTTTTTATTCAAAAGTCAGAATGATGTAAATATGATATTCTTCATTTTATATGATTCAGTGTACACAGTATTCAGATGTTACTTTGGTACATTTTTCTCTTGGTTATATGCCTTCTACCTGAATAATCATGATCAGCTAATTGTATATCTGGATGACTTAAGAAACCTATTGAGTAGTATTTATGTATTATCTTGTCTTTTTCAAATACAAGGATATTAAAATAGCAAGAGATTTTGGTTATTATTTTCAGTTTTTTTTGTGATGTATAGTTAATTAAATCTGAAAATGATTTTATCAATCAGTAATTTTTCTAATAGTTGAATTCATGAGTCAACTAAATCTAAACCATCATGGAAAACTTGGAAGCATTGGACGGTCGTTTCGTTCTAGTATAGGGCTCCTCAACAGTAAGTAAAATCATTGTGTGTGAAATAACTGTCAGTGTTTTGTGGAGAGACAAAAGGTTCTAATTAACTAAAAAATGAATTAGCAGTAATAATATAAATACACTACAGTTTATGAGTATTGTTGTTATTTTTAGCATTACCTATTAGTGAGATATTATTACTGAACGACTGTCTTATATAATAAAATAAATACATTTTTGTTATATCCTAACGAAGAATAAATGAATGGTGACTGTTAGGAATTATATATGGACCATTATTACATATATTCTTATTGCATAACAATTAAGTAATTAAATTATATATATTTATATTTCTCTTATTATAAGCTTCCATTTGACCTATTGACTAATAATATATGATTTACTAAAGTTATATCCAATTTGTTAGTGACGGCATCTCACAATCATAGCCACTTTTTGGCTTAATCTTGTGTAATTGTTGTTCTCTATTTTATGGTATGATGTGATCTGGTTTGCTTGTATACTAAATTAAGTATGTTTGAAATATATGATTCATACAGTGGAAGCTGAGATTGTGTTCTGGACTCAGACGAACAGGGCAAGGCGAGGAGAGCTAATAAGGACTCAGAGTTGACTCCAGGCTGTTCGTACTGGTTAACACGTTATTAGTTTGGCACAGTGCTAAGGTCAAACAAGTCGTGTTCTACTTGGCAATTTGATCACGTAATAATTGACCGGACAAAATTCATCATCACCAATCTGCATCATGAGGCAAGCGCTAACTTGGAATCTTGAAGAGAAAGGAATAAGAGGAAGACCAAAAGACAACTGGAAAGGATTACCCTGGGCAGAGTCGGATGGAGAATACTGGTGAGGGGTCTATACTCCTCTATGAGGGCTAACAGGTGCGAGTAAATAGTAAGTAAGCTAGCTGGAGAATCCAGAACATGTATTCCATGCTATTTGGGACTCATCGTTTGGATGTACCTGTAATCCTGTAATGGCATTTGCATTGGGACTTGGACTTATTATCTTTCAGTTTAAACAGTGAATACGTAATCGATTGAATTACTGAATTCAGAGAGCTACACACTCGTTTAATGTGTACAATATTTAAATCATTTAGAGAGAGGATTTAAATTATTTAGTTGTTATTATGTTTAATTGAATTAAAATTTAGACTCATTATACAGGTAAGTAACTCTTTGTACTCAATATCTCAGTGGATAATGCTTTCAGGATTTGGACTGAAAGTTACTGGGTTCAGACGTTAGTCTAAACACCAACCAGGAATGAAGGTAAATTACTAGGTAGGACGAAAAGTCAGTTCAGTGTTCCGCCTCTGGTCACAATTTATCTCGTCTATACGAGACCTACTAACAATATTTGAACGACAACATATTTTGTAATGACATTCATTATGATTCAATGTCTTAGATTGATCAATCATTCATAACTGCCAAGTTTTAGTAGCAGTTAATAGACGACTGAGAATATTACTACAAAATATTTACATTTTCTACCCGGAAGTAGATCATTAAAATAACAATGGCATGTAGAAACTCACCAAAATGCTTGTTACTTGTATTATTATACATTTCCAGCTATCTGCCAAAAGCAGTGAGTTTTATTTTTATAATACTATCACTGGATGAATATACAGTATATACTATGTGCACTAAAGGAAGGAGTATCCGTTTTCACAGACCTATCTAATTAAATTATTAAATTGCGTAGTCAATGTTAAATGTTAGTTTCTATATTGATTTGATAAAATGAAGAAGCTAATTCTTAAGTTATAATTTCATTGTTTTAATCTAATCTAGTTTTTCCATAAAGTGAATTGAAGTTACAAAGACCTATTAAGTTATCAAGGCTTAATTAAAATGGTTACTGTTAACAGAATTACTTTATTTACAGTATATTAGAAGTTCACTTGATTACAGAGCATCGTCACTTAAGCAACAGAAGGATGATTGACAAACTTGTCTTTGAATGATTATATGTATGGTTGCCCCCAAATGCCCTGGTACGGACGAGAGTGGGGAGAGTCCGCTCTCCCTCTCCAAATGCTCTCACATGGTCACGCGTATATAGCCTCTGCCAGGGAATTCCTACTCATTGCCTTCTCGTGGCGGGTGTTGTTTACGAAATTGAGAGGACGAAAAGCGAATGTCCGGCGCTTCAACCGGGTCGGTGGACATGGAGAATCCACCTAGGGGAGTTGGAAAACCCTGATTCCAAACCAATGGTGCACATGGGCTCCAGTATCCTGAAGGAACAAATGGCGTATGAACCAATCGCTGGTCACTGGCTACCATGGGACTGCATCTCCTTACAATGCTCGACTGCCTTGTGGATCAGACCTTCTGGTCAAAGGCTCCGGGTGTGACTCCCTAAGAAAACCACCTGCTTCGGTTTGGGCACCCGGGCAGTATCACAGCACTCACATATATCAAATGAGATTTGTGTGGCGCATATATATTCGGTGCCCCTTTCTACCAATATCTATGTGTAAAAATAAATAAATAATAACATAATAATATGTATGGTTAACCAATCAACTATAAGAGAGGCAAGAATTAGATTCACAGATTTAAGTAGTTGATTGTAAATATTATGTTTATACTACTATTTTTATCACTTACTAGCATAAACTATAGTTTACATGATACAATTACCTCTTATTGTACAAAAATGAAATCAAAAGATATGCATTTCTTTTATTTCTTAAATTGTGTTTGTGCAAAATCATTTTTTGCTATACAATTTTATTCAAATACAGGTAAAATTTCTTTTTATTGATTTTCATTATAAAATAGATTAAACGTATAAACAAACAAAGAATTCTACAGTCTAGATTATAAAACACATCAGGCGTCATCTTCTTGTCAGTAGGACTTCACATTATTAAGGTATAAAGGGGTGTACATGTATTTTTACTATATAACTGAACCTATAAAAACTTATACACAATTACATTCCTTTCATCAATTAATAGTAACCATTATATTGGTATATTATCTATCTTATTATAAACTTGATCAAACATATTACTATTAAAGTTGAAATCAAAACCATATTTACTAAAATCAATTAATTCTTCATTATGATCATTTTCATTATTATTATTATTATTATCATCATTATTGATCAAATCATTATTATAATCAATATTAGTTCCAATAATTGTATTATTGATTGATAATGATTCTGAAAAACGTGTAAATAATTCATCTAAATATTTTGCTCTTTTTTGTTTATTTGACCATGAATTATTTTCATCAATTGTATTCATATTTATTGGTAATAAATGTTTAATTCGATCATTTGCAGTTGAATGAATTACATTTGGATATTTTGTTTGTTTTCTTATAGTGAATATTTTAAATTCTTTAAAAGTATCTAACTTGACAACAATTAATCGACCATTATAACCTAATTGAATTTTGATTGATGGTAATTCTGATAAATTAGATTTAATTTCATCAATTGGTGTTAATAATGCTCTACCAATAACTGGATAGTTATTATGAAGTTGATTATTGTGTATTATAACAAGCCATGCATTATGATATTCCATTGAGTATATAACACATACAATGTATAATTTATCTGGTGTAAATTGGGCACATAATACTATAGGATCATTTTGTGTACCGGGTATTAAATTCGGTGAATTCAATAAAGCCATTATACTTCCATTTTGAAAATTAATTAATCTTAAATTAGCATCTATACCATAAGCACCATCTGAGGAAACATCAATTAGTTTATCTACAATTGACATTTGACTAATAATTAAATCATTATTTTGTTTGTTTTTTAAATCTAACACTGTTATGTTAAATGTTGAATTTTCTTGTTCTAACCATAAATATTGTATAATAACTTTAGTTGGTTGTGCTTCACATGTAAATAAACGTTGAACATTAGGTGTACGACAAAAATCATCATGTTCTTTCAATAATTTATGTAAATTTATCTCATATACTAATTTTTTAAAATCTGGTGCTTCTAGCATTCGGATCCATTGTCCATTTTCTCCACAACATAATACCAAATAACGATCATTAAATATAATCTGTGTACCTTTAATAACTGGATGTTGTAAAAATGAATATCCTAAAAATCGTCCATTTGTAGACTCATAACGTGATAGTAAAGCTTGAGGTTTCTCATCAATTTTATTCAGTGAAGTTTTATTTTGAATATCTTTCATTGAATAATTTTTATGTAGATCTGTCAAACTAGACAATTTTGTATTACTAGCATGATCTGGTTTCAAAGTGTATATACCATACTTTGTTGACATATGAAATATAAATTCTCCAATAATAGATATTTGACATCGTAATCCAGTGCCACCAATTTTATTATCTAAATCATATAGACGAATCACTGTTTGATCATATCCCATACTTGATGAATCATTATTCTTTTCTTGTAAAGATGTATAGTAATTTATATTTGGAAGTTTTGGTTTCTTATATTCTTTTTTTTCATTGTTCAATTCTGTATAAATGTTTCTTTCGGAATTATCACCTTTATTATCATGAATTATATTTTTAACACGATAAACTAATGCTAATCTCTTTCCATCTGAACTTAAATGACGTTCACATGGTGTATCTTCCAATATTGGTGTCATTGGAAAGTCTGTTTCAAAATTATTCATAAAAACATCTTGTAAATCTGGTTTAATACATTCAACTGATATAACTTTTTGAGTTATAAGATTATAATACGAGAAGAGTTGTTGATTACCAATTTCAGTTGAATAAACAATATCTAATTCAGGATGATAATTAACTGTGGATAATTTTTTGCCAATTGGTGTCAATGCCATAGGTCCTTGATTTTTTGAACCTAATATAAGTACATTTATATTTGTTAAAATAATACTTCCATTTGTTACAATGATTAGACTACCTCCTCGAATAAAATATGCTTCATCGATAGAAGTTTTAAATGTATCTATTCTATGTATTTTTACAAGTATATTTGTGCTCGATTTATTAGTATTAGTTATTGGTCTATTCATAGTTACATTAGATGTGATTTGTATTGATTGAGTTGCATTGAATTCAATCAATTCAATCCATGTTTTATTCATAGATGATTTAATAAAATGTATTAAAAATGAATTAGTACTATCACTACCAAATCGTATTTGACTATTATGATATCCTTGTAGACCAGCAATTAATAATCTTGAATTAATTTGCCATATACCTATTATTAAACGATAATCATTAATATTATATAATGCAGCTAAATATTTTTCATCTGGTGATATCCATAATTTTTTTACACTGACTTGATGACGTACTTGATCCAGTATATTCATAGTTTCTAAATCCCATAAGAATGGAATATTAATTTTCTTTTCTAATGATGATACTTCTGATAATGATTTCATTTGTATAGATTTTAGATTCTTATACAAGTTTAACTCAAAATTTGGCTTTAGAATACGAATTTCTTTGTTTGATATCTAAGGGGGGTAAGTTGTTTTGTGAAAAAGATTGAAACATTCTGTTTAGGGAAACAGTTTAAGGGTAAGATTTAGTATAAAAAGTGGTAAAATTGAAAACTTAAAAAAAAGAAAAACTCAAAAGATATTGTGAACTTTTCTCATAGTTTGAGTCAACTTTTAAAAATAAAATTTGTAAAGTATAGTTGAACTTGATTAGGCCATAACTAATACAGTTACTGCTTGTTAACTGTTTATCTTGAAACTTAATAATTTCTGATTTCATCTGAGGAGTAGAATTCTTGTATGAAGGAAGATCTGTTTTGTTATTAGTAAAATTTGTTTTAGGAATTAACCAGAAAAAATCTCATACATAAACATTTTCTATTCACTTGACAATTACATACTGTCTGAAAGGGATTTTGATTATTATTATAATGATGAGTTTGATCATAACTAAAAGCCTCAAAAATATTTGCAACTATGATGTTTTGCTTCACAGTTTTGACTATTCTGATTTTCATTAGTTAAGATCATGAGTAAATTGGAGCTAGAACATCATGCAAAGCCTGGAATCGCTGAATGGCCGTCTCGTCCTATTGTAGGACTCCTCAGAAGTACGCATCCATGATCCCGCCTCGCGGAATTCGAACCCGGGACATATCAGTCCCACGCGCGAGCGCCTAACCACTAGACTACTGAGGCGGGACTCAACGATGTTAATGTCTAACTTCAACTAATCCACGAAAATGCACCACCATCCACCATTATCTTCAGTGAATTACTATCTTTTAACAGACCCGGTTGGACTCCACTGATGACGGCTTCTCACTATAAGTCCAGGAAATAACTGTTAAATCCAGTTACTAATGAGCATATGTTGATTAATATCAGAAGGGGTTCTATCAATCAATTATTGAACTATTTTGAAGTTAGAAATTAACACCATTGAACACCAACTCAATGGTCGAGAGGTTAAGCGTTTGCTTGCGAGACCAAGAGGTCCCGGGTTCGAATTCCGCGAGGCGGGATCATGCATGCATACTTCTGAGGAGTCCTACAATAGGACGAGACGGCCATGAGGTGGTTCCAGGTTTTGTATGGTGGTCTAGCTTCAATTGATTCATGATCTCAACTAATGAAATTACTATAATGTCCACGAAAACGCCTACTGATATTTTGGTTTTGTCACAAATTTCATTTTTGCTGTACAATAAAAATGGACATAAACTGTATCCAGTTTTTTTAATGGGATTCAAAAGACGTCTAGCACATTGTTAAAACTATTGATAGTAAAGTTAGGAGGTGTCATACACATGTATAGTTTTATAGTTTATTTATTAAACGGAAAAAAATCATAGGGTGATACTACCGGCTTTGGTTTTAAGGTTTTTTCCTAGTAATTTGTTTGTTAACTCCACAAGAAGCTAAAATCCAACTACTGAAGGCAATTCGCTACAGTTATTCTTTGATCAATTGTTTTATATAAGAATAGTGACAAATATGTACTAAATGTCTTTAGTTCATATATATCTCTCTGGTCTTAATTACAAAGTATATGTAAAATGTAATGGAGATTATTATTTGAGACGGTTAAACTATGCCAAATTTAGAAACATAAAATTTCAATGGTTGAAGTGTAAGAATCCCTTTTAATCGTTTAGTAAATTATATTTTTGTTTTAAAAAAGTCCAAATATAATTTGATTATTTTTTGCACTTGACGTTTCTTCACTTTATCTGCTAAAAGTATACTTTTGATGAAGTTTTGTTCTCTGAGCTGTATGGTTTGGTCGTGAAGCTTTCATTGTTCTTGTAAACGATATCATCAGCACAAACTTCAGATAGAAGTGAAGTGTTCGAATTTCTCCACATCTGTTTCACAGCTTGTTCTGTACACCTCGACACTGATTAGATCTTATTGACTTTAAATTTGTCATTGTTTACTCCATCGAAATCATCCACCTAAGCTATAAATCTTCTCCATCAGCTAAAAGTATACACTAAAAAAGAAATGCCAAAATTTCACAGGTTGAAATCATGAGTCGATTGAAGCTAGACCACCATGGAGAACCTGGAAGTACTGGACGGCCGTTTCGTTTTAGTATGGGACTCCTCAGCAGTGCGCATCCACGATCCCGCACCACGAGGGGCTCGAACCCAGGACCTACTGGCTTTGTACGCGAGCACTTAACCAATAGACCACTGAACCGGCATCCAACGGTGTTAATGTCTAATTTCAACGGCCGTCCAGTGCTTCCAGGTTCTCCATGGTGGTCTAGCTTCAATCGACTCATGATTTCAACCTGTGAAATTTCTAAAACTCTCCACAAAACCCATTCTTAGTAAGAAATATTTTTACTTACCAAAGTTAAATCAAACCGATATATTTGACCTAAACTTTTACATCCAATAAATAAATTATCTCCTCTAATATTTGCTTGAAATATAATTGGTGCTAAAGGACATTTTATCCATGCTACTATATCATTCAATGCATTCTTTAATCGAACTTGTACATCATTATTATTTATCTCTTTGAATTCATTTTGATTAGTTTGTTGTTTTCTTTTCTTTTCTATACTTGTTTTCATTGGAATGAACCATTTTGATGGTCCAAAATAGATTCGATCATTTGGTAATATATAAAATGGTAATGGAACTTTAGATAATATATTATTGATTGGTTTTAAATTTGGTATAGTATAAACAATTGCATAATCTTGATTGTTGATATGTTTTTCATTATTATTTCTTTTAGGAATATATTGTTTAATTACTATACTAGATCGTGTTATACATAAAATTTTTAATTGAATTGGTTCTGTTACACATAGATTTCCTTCAATATATCCTAATTCTAAATTAATTGATAAAATTCCATATTTTTTATTATTTACATCATTTATTGAATAGGTTAATAGAACTAATTGATTTTGATGTATTGGCATATAGGCTTGATGAAATTTATAATTTATCCATTCACCAAGACTAAATGAACATGATTTAGTTAAGGAATTCACTTCCCATAAATGAATAATAACTTCATTACTATTTATACTTAATTGGTTTGTATTATTATTATTATTATTCGATTGATTCAATGGATTCAATGTTAATGTTAATAAAAATCTTGAATCTGATGAAATCGTTATAATTTCTTTCATTTCATGTTTATTTATATCATTCATAAATGTAGAAAATCCTGTATTATTATATTTATATTGAACATTTAATAATTCAGGTTGTAATGGTGATTGATAACATATAGATAATAATGGTAATAGACAATTCACTTTATTTGAATCACAATCAATACTATTTAATAATAAACGACTTATATTTATATATTCTGTATTCACTAAATGTCCAATACGTCCAGCTAATTCAATATTTAATATTGTTGGTATCAATGATAATTTAATGGATAAATTTCTTAATAAATTTAATAAATACATAATTTCATCATTAGTTCTTAATTGATTTAATTGTCTTAAATAATAAAATTCTGTAATGATATCATTTGGTCTTAAACCTAATAATAATTTACCAAATATATAATCAAATGAAAAGATAACATACTTTAATAAATCTTGTATACTCTCTGAACCTAGTTTAAATAATTGATATGGTAATTCTGTAAGACGACGTGTATTACATATATAATATTTATTATATGTTCCTATTATTACTTCAGTAGAATTCAATTTGATTGATTGATTCATAGATAACCAATAATATATGGTATGAAATGAATCTTCATTATATTCTATATTACTATTATTATTATTAGTAGTAGTATTATTCATTGGTTTTATTTCATAAGAATGTCCAATTTGTTTTGTATGTTGTTCATAATCATCATGTCCATTATTTAAACCTAACCAATAATCTGTCATATATCGATGAAATATAAATTCATTTGATAAATTATCATTTTGTTTATTATCATGATTGAAATCGATTTTATTTTCATTGATTAAAAATTGATCATTATCATTATTATTATTATTATTATCTAAATATGAATTCCAAAATAATAATACACCATGACGATAAGATTCATGTATAAATGTAATTAATAAACGATTATCTGTTTTAATAAACATTAAATATTTATTTATACCATAAATTGATGAATATAATAAATTCAATAAACAACCAATAGGGAAATATTTTAATGAGATATTCATTGAATTAGATTGTTTTCTTGCTTCTATTATATTAATATCATTTTGTAATAATTCAATTAATTCATTCATTGTTAAACCATAACGTGAACATGCTATATATGGCATAAAACGTAATAATGCCAAATGTAATATACTTTGTTGTTTCATCATAATATAAATTTGTTTTAAACGTATGATAAATAAATGACATAAATCATTAGGTAATATCTCAGGTAAAATGAAATTCATTTTACCACTGAATTGAATAGTTAATATATCAGCTAATAATTCTATATAAGTTAATGTGATATTATTTTCTAAATTTAAATTGATTAATTGATTATTGATTTTTTCATCAATTATTGATACATTTGAATTGAAATGTTTTCGAATTAATTTTGGTAAAATATTATTGATTATATCATTCAATGAATAACATGATGATAAATTAATACAACAACCTTGACCAAAACGTTTTGTAAAATTTTGAATAATTTTTTCTGAATTTGTTGTGATTAATAAACGGATATATTGATTAGGTAATTCATATGGTAACCATTGAAACATTTGTACATGTTCATCTGGATATAATAATTCTATATTATCAATTAATATCAATATTGGTTTTAATGGATTAGCTAAATTTAATAGAATATTTAATAAACGTACAATTTCTGCATATTCACATAATGATTTAATATTAGAATAATTTATATTAAATTTCATTATTAATTGTTCAATAATTTGTAATAATACAGATTGTAATGATGTGGATAAATAGGTACGACCAATACAACATATAATTATAATTGGTTCTATGATAGATTGGGATATAGTTAAATGAGTTGATAATTGATCTGAATTTGATATTGATTGATTGTTGATTTCAGATTTTGAATGAATATGCTATAATATATATACATTGAAAATTAAAAAAAAAACAAAATTATGCTGTTGTGATTTGTGCTACTTATATTGATATAAGTAGTATATAATATTAGTCAAAAATAGAATGTCCGATAGCAAAAGTTCAAGATGAAACAGGAAAGAATGGGAACAGAAAGCAATTGGTATGGAAATGCAGAAACAATCAAATTTGAAACGATTAACTGATATTTGGAAAAGAGAACAGTCAAATTCTAGGCAGTGGAATGACATTTTGCAAATGAAGTATTTACTTTGATGGAGTTTTATTCTTTGAGCTGGATGGTTTAGTCATGAATGAAACTTCATCAAAATCATCCACTATCGCGAAGTATTTGCTGTATGATTTTCAGGTTTTACTAAGATGTTTTGTAATTTTGTGTTCAGATATATTCGATTGTCTCCATTTGTGTTCTCGTTCATTACGGTAGTAGTTTGAATGTCATGCATTACAGATTATATTAACATCCCTTATATTTTATATTATATTTATGTTGTTTATTCGCTTGTAATGTTACTACAATGTGTAGTTCTTTAAAATAACGAGATATTCAGCTTGTTGAATTAAAAATTTACATTCGTTCCTTTGACTTATGACATAAAAAAGGGAATGGTAACTATACAAAACTTCAAAATAAATCAATTGTACAGAGAGAGAGTAATTAATCGTTTTTTACTTTATCAAAGACATGAATCCTTGATTATCTTCGTTTCTATCATTCTGATGATATTAGTATGATTTAATACGTCTTGAAAAAAATGGTTATTATAAGGATGAGAAATTTTGAATGTAAAACCTCACCTATTGAATTTTTGATAAATGCTTAATCTTAGAGTGATTGGTTTTCTAATCTTCAATTTCATCACCAGTTATAGAGACAGTTTCTTGTTAAAGATTGGTGAAATCCGGAAGCGTACAGAAAGGAAGCACACAGTGAAACCAAAAGTGTTTGTGTTAAAAATCCATATATATTTTTGAATGTTAATCAAGTATGGATAAATTATTGATTATCTGTGTAATTCAACCAATGGGAGAATAGATTAGAAATTGATGTGCAGACATATACTCAATCATATTCACACGGAAATTTACATAGTGGATTAAGTGTTTAAATTACGGTGAGCAGATAGTTGAATGGGCTTACTACATATAAACCTAAATGGACAAAGGGGGAAGACATGACTGTGTAGGAATTTGAATTGATCAATACCAAATGAATAATACTTATGGCTAATATGTATTTATTTGGATACAGACTAATCTGATCATGGATATATGACTGATGCGTTAGGATAGGTGAATAACAAAATTGTTTATTATTACTTTCCTATGTTTAAATTTGATTTAATGTAAAAATCTTCACATATTGTATAACCTAACTAACTTACTCAGTAAGTCAATTAGTCATTCAACGCAGTTATATATACAAAAATTTGAATGAGCTGCAATCAGATAAGTAGTATCCAACGCTTTTTATAGGACTGTGAAAATCTACTTACTACTGATCATTTATTAACATAAAACTCAAAAGCTTTAAATAATACAATGCTTTTACATTTCTTGTGTATCAATAATTCATTTTACAAAACATTAAATGAAAATTCATTTGATGTTGTTTGCAGCGAACGGTACTGGGTTCGAGCCCCGAAGTGAACATCAACTCTGAGATGCAGGTACATCCAGCTGACGAGTCACAATTAGGACGAAACGCGCATCGTGGATTCCACTACTAGCCACTATTCATCTTTGTTTAAATTAAAGGTTTTTTTTAAATGGATGAACATTGATAAGTCAATATGTATTATCAAAGGTATTTATAGCAAAGTAGATAAAAATAAGTTTAAAATAGCGTAGGAAAAACAAAGTATTTCTTTCTAAATTTCACATACAGTTTTTTCTATCAGTTCTGGGTAGATACAAATAATTGTCAAGTTTTATTATTACTATTTTTTTAAATTAATGAACTTCATTTCAACTGAAACAGTTCTATTTTAATTTCCTAATCGATAAAATTTTATACCAAGTTTAACTAATATTAAAATTAGATTGAAAGAAATGTGAAGTTGTTTGATATATATATATATATATATATGAAAGAGATAATAATATAATAAGTACGTTTGGATAGATATTAGATAGTTAATTTGTATGAGAAGGGGTTTTTATGGAGATTTTAGTAGTTTTATAGTTGAATTCATGAGTCAGTCGATGCTAGATCACCATGGAAAGCTTGGAAGCACTGGACAGCCGTTTCGTCCTACTGCGCATCCATGATCTGGCCTAGCGGGATTCAAACACAGGACATATGAGTCCTGCGAGAACGCTTAACCTTTAGACCATTGAGTTAGCATCCAACAATGTTAATGTTCAACTTCAACTAATCTACAGAATTGCGCCACCGTCCACTATTGTCTCCACTGAGTTATTATCTCACAACAGACGCGGTTGAACTTCACTGATCACTGCTTCTCACTAGAACTCCAGGAAATACTTCTTCAAGCCAGTCACTAGTGAGCATATGATGTTTATAATCACAGAGGGATTTTGTAGATATTATAGTAATTTAATAGTTGAATTCATGAATCAATTGAAGCTAGACCATCATGGAAAACCTGGAATCACTGGACGGTCATTTCTTACTGATTATTTGAAATAATTTGTAGTTATTTGTTAAATTATTAAAATCAGTCAACGAGAGTTCGGTATCTCATACCAATTTCCCTACTAATAAATTTGATTAGAGCATGAAAAACATCGTAGCCAATTAACATTAATTTTATTTTGTAGTTCCTTATCAGTTACTTATAACTTAAACACAATAGTATTAGTTAATAACAGTTCGTGTATATAGTTCATATTATAATGTCGGAAATGTTCTCATCGATTAAGATTAATACATCATAAATATGTATGGAAGAAGTTGAGACTAAAAGATCAACTTATTGGTGATACTAATCTAATTCCTATCCATAATCATCAACTGTAAATCACGGTCCTTGTTCTTCACATTGGTTTAAAACCCTCATTTAGCCTTAGTCAGTAGGTGGACACTCTCAAGGTTAATTTAGCGTTGCTCAGCGGTCGTCCATAATTTATAGTCTCACCAACTTATCTTCAATAGTTTAGTCTCTCATTATTTATTTGGTAGTGGGTATGACATTATGATTTTAGGTTTGTTTAAAACATCTGCCGAAGCCAACTTTATCAAAGGTCATAAACCAGATTTTTGCACTCAAAAAGATACTATTGTTATTCAGATCTTGTCCTGGTGACCTCTGTTTTCAAAGTGTTATTTCCTAATAGCTTTTTGCTTATAACTAGACAATTAATTTTTTCATAACTTGTTGATTTTTATCTGAACTTCACCCATTCTAAGCTTAGAATCAGTCTAATATTGTTTTCATCATGTAACTTTTATTATCGATCTTTTTCAGTAATTTGTCTCTATATGCTTTGTAGATCTTTTTTTCAAGAGTTTCCATATTATTTAACATATACATATTTAATTATCATTTCAACTTCTTTCATAATTCTCCTATATTTATTCCCATTGTATTATTCTTCATTGATGAGAATATTCTCAATATTATGATATCAGGTATGTACATGGATCTTTATTAATTAATACTATTATGTTTAGGTAGTAAGCAACTGATGAACAACTATGAAATGAAATGAATCAACGTTCTTTTACTACATTCATTTTTCTTATATTGTCCAAAAGTCTGCTGGTTGTTATATAAAGTAGGCTTTATGGAGAAAAGTGTCCTCCAATAAATAAACCTATTCCTTTTTAATATCCTGATCAAAAATGTACTACCACAACATCTGAACAACAATCGATTTCATTTTAAAAGTGGATTAAATGTATATATTATTTAAATAGCTAGTACTGACTATTAATTATTCTAGGTTTAAAGTAAAAAGATCACTTTTAATAGGTGAGATCATGAGTCAATTGAAGCTAGATTACCATGAAAAATTTGAAATCACTGAACGGTCTTTTCGTCCTGTTGTGGGACTTCTCAGCAGTGTACATCCACGATCTCACCTCGCGAGACTCGAACCCAGGACCTATCGGTCTCACATGCTAACGCTTAATCTTTAGACCAATGAGCCCCGACATTCAATGATATTATTGTTTAACTTCAACTAATCCACAAAATTAAGTGATATATCCAACAACAACAACAACAGCAAATTACATCAATATCAAAATTTTCCAACCACTTATATAACTAACCATAAAATAATTCACTGTCCATCGTAATAAACTAGTTTTACCAGAACCTGGTGGTCCATATATTATTCCTGGAAGTTTTGAATTACCTATTAAATAATTCTTGATAAAACTGATTTCACGATTACGTGTTTTATGCATTAATTTATCATTCCAATTATAATAATCATCATCATTATCATTGATATTCGAATTATTTTCATTTATATTCTCTATTATATATTGATAAGGATGTAATTGAATATTTAATTGTTCCATTGAATACATTAATAAATCATAATGACTATCTGCTTCAATTTCATTACTTAATTGTAATTTTGATTGTTGTTTAAATTTCAATTCATTAAATAAATTTGTTATAGATTTTTTAAATAATTTTAATAATTGATTAATAAATAAAACTAAATAATTAATCCATGTTATATTGTTCAATGTTAAAGATTGATTATGATTATGATCAGGATCAGTTTGATTATGCAATCGATTAAATTGTTTCATTTGTAAACGTACTTTTGTTAATAATAATTTTTCTTTATCTAATTTATTATAAATATCGATTTCTTTCGATGATAAATTCGTAAAATCATTTAATATATGTATTGGTATGGTTAATTTAATGATTTGATCTTTATTTATATATTTTTCTAATGTATTAATAATATGAAAACATTTTTGTATTGATTTTGGATCAGGGATTAATTGTTTTTGATTGATTGATTTATTGATTTCTGTATATTCAATTAAATGATCAAATAACATTTCTTTATTATGAATATTTTTTGTTAGATTGTATATTTCTTTGAAATTATTGATTGAATGAATATTAGTCAAACCTTGAATATGACGTTCTATTAAGATACTATATTTTCTTAGATCTGGATATTTTTCAAGGAGTTTTGTATAACGTTCTATATCTTGATATTAAAAAAAAGATGTATATAAATCATAGAGAGATTTTATAAAGATTGTATAAATTTAATCATTGAATTCATGAGTTCATTGAAGTTAGACTATCATTGAAAAACTTGAAAGCACTAAATGATCGTTTCATTCTGAAAGGTTCCATACTAGGATGAAATGGCTGTATAGTGCTTCCAAGTTTTCTATGATGGTCTAGCTTCAATTGACTTATGAATTCTATTGTTGAATAATTAAATTTGAATGTATGAATGATTAAAATTTAATAATAAAACTTATTTCAGCGAGATTATAATTTATAGATGAATCAATCAGATATAAGATAATATCTTTTGGATTTTGGTGCGAAATTCATTCATTCGGTAGATAGAGTTTTTGGCACTATAACTAATGTCAGTTCGTGATGAAAACCTGAAATCTAATTCATAACCTTAATCATCAACTGTAAATTATGATTCTAATTCCTCGCACAAGTTTATCACCCTCATTAAGTTCTAGTTATTAAGTGGACACCCTCAAGGTCACTCTAGCGTCATTCAAAAATCGTCCATAAATTATAGTCTCACCTTGATTTCTAATAGTGAACTTAAATGGATTTAGTAAGCTCATCTATTTACTAAAAGGGTAAATAATAATTTCCTTTAAAATATTTGTTTTTTTATACATGTAACTTTAACTGATTGTTAGAAGAATTAAATTTAGTAAAGTATTAAACTTTGTTATTATTCTATAAATTGCACTGATTAATCATTATCAAGGTTTGATTTGATAATTTCGAATAAATTGAGCATTGGATAGATTGTTATAAATAAATTAGTGGTGAGACTATCATGTATGGACGAACTTTGAACGATGCTGAAGTGACCTTGAGAGTGAACAATTCCTAATTAAGACTAAATGAGGGTTACAAACCATTTAAAGTTCTCCTTTACAGCTGATGGTTAGGGTTTAAAATTAGATTTAGGGTTTTCACCACGAACTGACATTAGCTATAATGCCCAAAGCCTATTTAGCCAAATGTATGAATGAATTTCGCGCCAACATTCATGACTTGTTATTTTATACGTAATTGGTTCGTCCATAAACGATAGTCTCGCCAAATCAATGTATTTGTAATATCCTAAAGAGTAGAAAAAAATTTTTTTTCTGACGTTTCGTGACTCACTGCCAGCCATTTCTTCAGAATATTAATATTCTTGAGTTGTTCCTTTGTACTAATTAAACTTGAAATTAATTTTGATTTGGTTATTTATTCTCTGAAGAAGTGACTTGCATTAAATCACCAAATGTCAGAAAATTTAATTTTTCTACTCACTAGGATATTACAAATATATTAATTTATTTATAACATTGATTAATGTAATATAATCATCCAGCAGTGAAAATGTCAATATTTCCCTAATTGAATAAATATACTGGAGTGATGTCTCTATGGCGAACTTAATCAATCAGATGTCTAAATACTAATGTATCCAAATTTTATTGATCTGGAAAAATAAGAATTTATTACCAAAAGGATTTTTGTAGATATTATAGTAATTTCAATGGTTGAGATCATGAGTTAATTGAAACTAGATCATTATATGAAATCTGGAAGCACTGCTGAGGAGTTCCACAATAGGACGAAATGGCCGTCTAGTGCTTCCAAGTTTTCCATGGTGGTTTAGCTTCAATTGACTCATGTTCTTAACTGAAGAATTTATTATTTGTGCTACTGATTTCTTTGAGATTTCCTTAATGACTACTTGAAGTAACTACAAGTAGTAATAAATAAATTTTAAAAGATTATATTGCAATCATACAATCTTTTAAATATTCATACTTCCTAGATATATGACTAACACTTGTAAAATATGTCTTTATCAAAGATCATATAAATTCTTATCATTTGAGTTAAAGATGTGCTATTTTTTTCTTTTAGACTCCCTTTATCAACCCCGTAGATTAGTGATAATTGTTGAACAGTGATAGAATGGTAATAAACATTACGATGTACACCATAAATAAGTTATTTTTAATAGTTAGTGAATAATTGAACATAAACGTATCCTGAAATTTGCCTGATTCATTGATACATGTCATTTAAGGGTTGTAAAACTTTTTTAAAGAAAGAAATAATTCGGATCAAACAGCTTTTATCAGTAATATTTACATGATTTGGTTATATTTTTAAGCATTCAGTTTCTCGTTATAAAGTTGAACCTCATTAATTATTCTTTTTTGCTTTCATGTATTTCATTATAATACAGTTTAACCAGTGTGTAATTTTTTGTTCAGAAAGTTTATGGATAAATGACTTGTTTTCTCGCACTCTTACTGATCTATTATTCAATATTTCTTTATTATTTATTCGATTCTCATAAAATTAATAGATAATTACTTTCCAGAGTAAACTATAATTTAGTCATGATTCAAAATCAATTCACTGATATATTTTCACTTACTTAATCGAGATAAGATAGTGGTTGGAAGTAGTCAATAGGGAACTTTGAACCTAGGTTTCGTTCTACATGGCACTTGTCAACAAGGTGTACCTATAATCTTGAGGGAGCTGATGCTGATAGCCCGGATAGCCCAGTGATAACGCCTCTGACTATGAAGCTGGGTGACACTGAGTCGAATCCACCGAGGAGCATCAGTTTCCTCAAGATTATATAACATAATCATGGCTGTTTGAATGTAGTTAGGAATGAAACAGAATATTAAATATGGTAATATCTGATTTATTTTCAAAAGTATATTTTTAATTGGTAACTGAAAGCAAAACTGAAGTTTTAAAATAAGTAGTTGTTGATGAAGAGATTTTAAACAAAGAACACTTAATTATACTTAAAGTATTACGATATATTATATAAAACTTATGGTTAACTTATTTCATGATTGTTGTAAGTAAGAAATGATAAATAGTCATTTAGATGCATAGATCGAGTAATAAGTATATCTCAATTACCGAATCGTATATTGAAAAATATAATTTGGTGTTAACTGAAATATACTACTAACTTCTTGTAACTACCTAGATTTTTTCACATCATTACTCACTCGCTTTTACTATGTATGAATCAATAGGTTCTATCATAACAATAATAATAATAATAGTGATAATAATAATTGTTGTTACTGTTATTATGCTTGTGCAAACCCGTATACGGGTAGTTATGAGAGGTGTATGTACTTTGGTTATATCCTATTTATAAAAGATACTGTTATGAAAATGAATAGCTGCTTGAAAATCCAGAAAACTCTTAAGATATCATTATAAAATATGGTTACATGATAAAGAAAGGAAAACTTGTTTTCCCACCTTCTTTAAATTGACTTTTCCAGTGGACTAGAAACAGAGAAGATGCTTTGAGAAGATCAGTAAACATTGATAACTGAATGTGAAACGATTGTAATTTTGATGATACAGTAAAATTATTGTCTATATCAGAGTATGACGTTTTATTTACTAGATGTAAATCTAATTTCAGCACATTTCACAAGTCATAATATCACAGAATACAAGATTCCTTATTTACAAATTAACCTACTCAATTGGTTAGTATTAATACAAGTAAATTTATGATAAACGATCATTCTGTTGACCATTAATTTGAATTTAATTTAACAATTTCAATGTTATACTGATAATAGCAAAACACTTCATAAGTTACCAATTAAAAGATTGATTTCATATTCGAAAACACTTCATGTATCTTTCATATCCTTGATACAATTTACTTTGAAATATATGTCTATACTGTATAATGAACTATATTGGTCCCATGTTAATTTCTAATACAAAATAAGGTGTACTTCAGTACATCTTGAATATTCATATTGAAATCTATGAAGATGATAAGTGAATTAATTTGAACTAGGTTAATGAAATTGACAGATATATACAATATGGTTATCATTTACAACAAGATTACTGATACTACTTTTATGAAACATAGTTTCATAACGTTGACATTGACTTCTTTATAATGCCTATGGATACATTCTAAGGAACTTGAATATTACAGTTAGAAAAAACGGTTAATTTATTATACCATATGATAGTTTCAAGGCGGTTTTTTCACTATGATGTAATCTTTTCATTGCGATAATGATAAAAAATCTAACTACTGTAAACTGATAGGATCTTTTAATGAATGAAGTGTGTGAAATAGCCTAATTCCATATATATGGTAAATCATTTAATCAGGTTAATTCCTGACTTGGCAAACTTGTAACGATACTTTATTGTGAATTGCTAATGATAATTAGTTAGTTACAAATGTGATGTGATCCAATACTAGGGCAAAACATCAGTATCACTGAATACAAAAAAAACATTATGTAACTTTGAGGAGTACCATTGTTTGGACAGTATCAATATTATTTATACATAAAGTTCGTTGGTTTGTGTTCCTCACTCTCCCATAGTTAAATAATCATATTTTGATTATATAAGGAATTTGTTGTGTAATCAACCGATGTCTTAAATATTTTCAATTACATTAGTAGAATATATGGCTTGTAAAAATAGGTCTCAGACAGTGATAATAAATGACCAACTAATGACTAAATTTGAATAGTTTATCTCTATTATACAATATATATTTCTCGTTTAAATTATCAAGTTGTATGGGCATTATTTAACTGTTTTCATAGTTTAAGACAAAATTACTGGTTTGCAGACAAATGTACGTTACAGTAAGATTTTTATTTCAGAACACACAATATACAATTACTCATTTATTTATTTGGTATTTATAACGCTTTATGAGTTTAAACTATTCATCACTGTATATTCTTATTGTTTCTCATTGAATCAGGGATCTTTTTTTTTACTATATTTGTACTTCATTTCACAAAGTTACTGCTGTAATCATGAAAAGGCTCATTAAGTTTTTTTTATTTCCTATAGAGTTAAGTAGTAAACACCTGAAAAAATCATTTGCAGGTACAAGTTAAACGAGTAATGTCTCTCTAGTTCATCTTATTCTTTCATCGAAATTATAATATCATGATGAAAATATTATGGCAATACTGATGTAATATAGTTTTAGCCATTGGCAATAATAAAAAATGTTTCTTTTTAATATTAAATGAAGTATATTAATGAGATGGTAGAGAAGGTTTGTAGCTTAGGTAGATGATTTTGACGGAGTTTTGTTCTCTGAGCTGAATAATTTAATCGTGAAGCTTTCATCATTTTTCTAAACGACATCATCAGCACAAACCTCAGGTAGAAGTGAAGTGTTCGAATTTCGCCACATGTGGTTCACAACCTGTCCTATACACCTCGATGTTGATTGGTTTTTATTGACCTTAAACTTGTCATTGTTTACTTCTTTGTTTTGCTACATTAATACTTATCAACTGATTAGGGTAAATGATTATGTGAAATAAATTTACTAGTTTTTTTTTCTTCAAAGAAAAATTAGGTCATCATCATTCATTATTGCATAATATACACATATTTCTTTCATGATTACACCATCCATTTAAACCTACCACATATGTCATTGATCTTCAATTATAATTTCTCATTTATTACCCGCATCAAACTAATAATGAACCATAATTATAAATAACACTTGGATTTATCAATTAATTAAAATTCGCATCAATTTATGAAATAGTTTATTCATTTAATGCAATTATTACCGGGTAATAATCGGTAGCTTTGTTAACACTGATTATGTAATGATGATGATTATGATGGTCTTAAATTAATGGAATAAGATGTAATTGTTTTGATGAAAATCAATAAATTGTTAAGTAGTAAAATAAAGTAAAGAATTTTTATAAACCCTAAAAGTTATTATTTTTGAAATATATAAGTCAGTCAGTCAGCTACAACGTAGGACCAGGAACATATATGCATCAGTTCAAGTTGTCATACCTCATTAGCATAGCAAGATGAACACCGGATTCATAGAAGTAGTTAATTCAATGGTGGTAATATATAGAAGAAAGATTGCATAACAGTATATAGTACAAGAAGAAAGAATTAGTTCGTAGAAAGATAGACATGAAGCGATTTTAATCTCATAGTTTAAGGGAAGACAAATAGTGTACACACCGATGCCATTGAGGTCGATTCTGAGCCATGTCACCAAGAGTCTCCAACCATTGGTTATGATAGTCACGCGGACCCCAACCAAGTAGTCTGCATCTACCAACATGGCTAAGAATAGAAGTTAGTGACTTCAAGCACTGATGCCACGTTTTGGTTTGGTCACCCCTAACTTTCTTCCAACCGTCTCCAACACTAGTTAGCATTGCGCGTCGTGATAATCGGTATTCAGGCATACGTAACACGTCGCTTCAAATATACAGCTATTTATTCAAATCTATAGTCTTGTGGTGTTCCGAGGAAATTTCTCATGATAAATTTAATCAAAGATTTAGGAGACTTTTGACTCTGTTATAGAATGATATGAATCCTGTGAACACAATATGTTATTCAAGTTAACAAAATAGGTGAATATTTAAGATCTTTTTCTGGGTGCTTACAAATGGAAAATTATGTAATTGTCAATTGCATATACGTATAAAATTATATAACAAAATTGAATAGTTTAGAATGAGTCTATGATGTCTATATCTAGACCTGTTTTCAAACAAGCTTAACAAACATTTAATACTGATAACATTGTCATCGAATTATTGAAATATTACTGAATTATTTGAGATAGTAATTGGAGGTAGTCAACAGGAAACTCCGGACCTAGATTTCGTGCACTCATCAGCAAGGTATGCCTGTAATCTTATGTGGACTGACGTTCCCTGACGGATTCGATCACATGACACCCAGCTTCACAGTTAAAACCTTACCACTGTGCTATCCGGGCCGCGACTGACTTCCTGTAGGACTGAGGTGTATTTACAATTGATTGATCACTGGTGCAGTAAGAAGATCCTGAAATACATGATACTGGTCACCACCCAGTGTTTATTTTGACAAATATTTTGCCATATGGAATATGATTATAAATTCACTGAACTTTTTACATATTGAAGTGTAAGGACTTGATTATTAAAATATTATAAGGATACTAATACAGTACTGTTTCTTTCATGAATTTAAGTGATATAGTGAACATAGTAACCTCAGTTTGGTTTTCAGGCGGAAAATTTTACTGAAGGGGCTTTACTAGATAAAAAAAATATGTATATTTGTAGGACAGTTTATTTCCATAATTTACATTACTTAGTTGTTACTAAACTTGCACAAATATCAATAAAAAAGTATTTTGCATTAGTTCAGGATTTAAATTATGAAAGTTTATAAATTTGTTTTAATAAATTCAATGTTATCTATCAGTATAGGGGTTGTGGAGATTATTAAGTTTCTGATTGAGATCATGAACCAGCTCAATGGTCCAATAGGTTAGGCATTGGCGCGCAAGACTGAAAGCCCTGGGTTCGAATCCCGCGGGAGGGATCTTGGGTGCGCACTGCTGAGGAGTCCCAAAATAGGACGAAACGGTCGCCCAGTGCTTCCAGGTTAAGTGCTCACGCGCGAAACCAGTAGGTCCTGGGTTCGAATCTCTCAGGGGGCGAGGTCGTGGATGCGCACTGCTGAGGAGTCCCATACTCGGACGAAACGGCTGTCCAGAGCTTCCAGGTTTTCCATCGTGGTCTAGCTACGATTGACTCATGATTTGAACCAATGAGATATTAATATAATCTATTTTTTTAAACTGTTGTCTCATTCGCTCTCAAGGCCTTTCCTAATTCCCCAAGTTCATTGACCCACATTTTTTTGTGAATCATTCAAGGATTCATATTTTCTATTTCAAACTTATTATTTGTAATGCATCAACTTTTGCCATATTGATTTTAACTCGTTTTTTTCTACCTTTCAGGTGTCAATGGGTTTATTTAAGTTGAAAAATAGTAACCAACTTATTATGACCATACGAACTAATAGATAAAATTCTTGGGATTTAATTTTATCGAAGATTAAGACGAAACAACCACATGTATTCATCTAGTATTCTTTTGAGTATCTACTGAACTAATCCATATAGCTTATTTAAAAAAATCCGAAGTCATTAATTTTCCAGAAATCAACAAACTCAGATGTGGTAAATTAACTTCATCATAGCTAAAAGAAATTAATTCAATTGGTCCTGTTAAGATTTGACGACATGTAGCTTTAGAAAATCCTCATGAAATTCTCTTTATTTTCTACAACGTTAAGAAGGTCAGATAAGTTGAGTATCACATAACAACATTTCTGTCATATTTTTGAAAGCATGGATCGTTTCCTTATTAATAGCTTGTAAACGTTAGCAGAATATATTATTGATTTGAACAGCTCAAATGTTTATTGCATGAAATGCTTTCAATCAATTGATTGGAAAACTTTATTGTTAAAAAATCGAGTAGTTCTAACATTAATTACCATCATATTATAAATAATTTAGCATAGGAACTAATAAGAATATTATGAACCAATATCGATCTATTATAATTTCTTTTATCGTTTAAAAGATAATGCAACTTTGAAACTTGTCAAAACTTACTTTATTCGTGTCAACTTATATAACTAACCTGATTCCAGGTATGGTTCCATTTCTTCCGAAGTAAATATGTTTTTTTCAATGCATAAATTAACACCTTTCTGTACTATTTCAAAACATTTTTCTGCTTCGTCATCCTTGTAAGCATTCTGAATGATATATCATTTTTAGGCAATGAATAAAGAAAATACTTCAGAACTAACTTTTTAAATAACGAAATAGTAATCATTTTCAATACGTTAGAGACTATAACTTGATTTGTAAAACAGTTCCCTGTGAGGTCGTACGAGTGTTGTCAAATTAAGATTGTTGAAGCTTTTATGTACTCGTTTATTGGTTTCATCATGTCTATTCTAGGATCTCTACATGCTAGTGAGTGGTAAATTATCCTTAGTTTAGTTATGATAGATGAGAGGGCTCCATGAAACAAAATCAGTGACTGGATATTAGCTTCCTCCTAACTCATGATTATTGATAAATGATACCCGGACAATAAGTTGTGACTCTTACGGAAAATTGAATAAACTGAAATGGAAATGTTACGCATGATGTCGTCAGGTAAACTATGACAGCATAATTTTGCAGAATTTCATGAATTTAGCCATTTTTGAAGTCTTCAATCATTTGAGTATTGTAGTAAATATTTATGATTTTGGACGTCTTCAACATAATCTTGAGGGATTACTGAATTAGCACACGCTGTGAAAAAAAGTGGGCATTATTTTGACTTTTGAATAGATATGGAGCTGATGTATGTCGTTGTTTATTTATACACTGTAGCGGAATAATTTTTGTAGATTATTCGTTTATTCGTTTCCTAAGGTTCGACTTTCAGTCTGGTCTCTCAGGAAGTTATCTGTAATATCTCATTTTATCTAAGTATTTTACCTTTCCGATTTAAATCCGTGTTTCATAGGTTTATGAGTCATTCGTTCCATTCAGCTTAGTACTAATAACTGGCCACCTCGTCATAGATAAGCCGCGGGGACCATCGTTCTGTGTATGTGTGTGTATGTATATATGCAATTACACGTGCAAGTATGTAGTGGTGACTTTTCCTGATAAAATATACGATCACTTGTAAAGATTTACCGGCTCATCGTTTGTATTTTCAACAAGATGGAATTTTCGACAGTCCTTGAGTAAGGTAACATTAATAATGTTTAGAGAATTGCTCTCAACTGTGATCCACTATAGTTCAAGTCCTGAAGCACTGGAAAATATCCTGAATGATGAGATTATGTAAACATACTATTTTCGTTGGGCTACTCGTTGAAAGATTTTGAACCACTCGATTTTAGATGCTCGATTAATTTAAATGTCATAAATGATATTTTTTGTTCCTTTTTATCCAGGTTTACAAAATAATTTGATAGTTTAGTGGATAAAACACTTACCGACCATATAATGTCCTCAAACATTAGGTCATTATTTATGTGTATGGCCTGAAGGATTAACTGCTGATAAAAACCGATAAATCATTAATGTACAGCCTCAAGTAATGAATCACTCATACAAAGTACGTCTTCGATGTGCGCCATATTCACGCTAACTGAAGAGTTGGTGAGTGAAGCATCATACTTAAGCTCGCAGCTATCTCGACACTATTTCGTTCCTGATAGCAAATTTCTTAACTTTCAAGCTGACTTGTCGATCTTCAACAAAAGTAACACATGTATGTCCGTCGTTTTTCAAGCCCTATCTTGTAGCAGCCCCAAAAGTTTTGAGTATCAGCCAGTATGTTATGGAATATTTCATCGCTAGTTGGTTTCCATCTCTCTTCAGCGGTCTGTTAACTTACTCCACCAGCGAAAGTGAGTTTTGGAGGGGACAACTTGTAGCTGGTTTAATTTTTATATTCAAATGACACCATGACTTTTGCTTCTGTATAATCACAATTGTCACAGCTTCTACAAGAAGTAAACCAATGGAAACGCTTCAGTGTAATGTGTTTTGACTGTAAGCTGCTTCACCATATGCAGAGATGTAAGCGACAAATGAACCTGTATCTTTTGTATTGTGAATTCATTTGCAGAAAGCTCTGACCCAAAATTAATGGTTCCATTCTTTTAAAGAACTCTTAGTTCATTCTATAATGTGTCTGTGAATGTGCTATTTTAGTGACAGCAAACTTCTATTTGAAAACTTTTCTGTTGCATTCTATACTCTATTAGAAACATAAAACTGGATCATATCGGCCACTCGTTGTATCATTGGATACATAAAGTCAACTAGTTATGTGATCAGATGCATTAACATCTTAAGCTCTACTTCAGTGCTTTTCAGATCTCAAAGTTTATGTCATAGAAACCACTGAAAATACTTTTGGTGGTTCAGTCAAGAGTCGTGAAATGTCATATTGGCTTTTGTGAAGTTAAACGAAAGATGTTAGTGTCAATAAATAGTCTATCAGAATAAGAATATTAAAGTTGAAACTAACATTCTACATGCAACGATCATTTCATGGAGTCCTGTCTACACGGTACACGTAATAATGGATAGAGGTGTCATCTTTACTTCATTCGTCAGCCCAACAAGAGTGGTTGTCCTCTTAACTTTAAAAAACAACCCGGTTCGTTTACTTTAAAGGGCATAGTAGAGATCATTAGCCTCAGAAAATCACCTAATATTCTGTAGATAAGCAACATGGTTTTACTTACTATCTACCATCTTCGCCTACTAAGAATATATTATCCGTTCACTAAAATCAATTAACAGAGTAAGTATCGATAAATTTAATAGCTTTTCAGTTTGTTTAAGAAATTGAATATCCTCCTGACACGTTTTAAATGACTGACCGTTTCTTATAGCCATTTGTTGACAAAGAACGTTTAATGTTTATTCTCCACCAACATATTTTAGCAACTACTAACAATAGTATACATAGGTAAACTTTAAATCATATTGTTGACCTTCCGTAAATCAGTTTGCTCTGCTGTTTTGTGATCGCAGGAGAAGTGACGTAGCTTGCCGTCACCAGTAATTTCAAGACAAAATTTTCTCTAAGATTCTTCACATCTAGACTTTAGTCGTTTTTATTATGACATATTTAGCCCGATTTTTAACTTAAATATCAGTTTCATTGCAGTAAGCATGCTAGAGAAGAATGTGAAGTCCGTTCATAGAATTCCAGCATTATATTCAAATACGGGTTGTGATAATAAGGGTGAGTAGTCACAGTCTGTTGGTCATTTGGGACAGAGCAGTATGCAAATGTACGCTCATGAGACGATATTTGTCTAGGGTTACCATTGCCCTGATACCCAGTGTCATGTAATCTCTGTCTGAAAAACACAAAAGTTATTCAATTTCGTTTCCCAAAGCAAGACATGATGATTATCCTCGGATTAACAATGGCAATACAGAATGTCGATAAGTAGTAGCGACTGAGTGGTCTGAGTCGAAGTATGCAACAAAACGCCAACAGTTTTTGAGCCTTTATCACTCACTGTCTTGCTTGAAGAAACCAAGCGAAAAATATTTCGTATGTGTTATGGATTATACCCATTCAGCACCTAAGGGCTGGAATAACAAAACTATAGTCACTCCTGTGTGAGCTATCAATTTTAGGCATTTTATCCTTACTAAAGATCAGCAGAGCTCAGAAATAATTTTTCAGCCTTGGATGGTTGGCCATGTGGTTCTGAATCTTTCAAGATTTATGATGTCATGGTGTAATTAGGCAATCACTTCATGCAAGTCGTGTAAATGAAAACTCACAATAAAATTTATTGCGATACCATAAGCAGCTCAAATATACGTGATATTTTCGGCACGGTACTGAAACACAGATCTTACCTACTTCCTTTTCAAATTATCAGACTTTAAGTCTCGGCTTCCAATCAGAGATACGTAGCCATAAACTGGCTACTATCAAAATATTATTAAATGTTAACATGTTAACCAGAGAATTAGCACATAAAATGGAAAATTGGCATGGTGGTTCTAAAATTGCACGCCAAGGGCCCAATAATATAGGACCCATGTTGGACAAAAAACGCGTTAGGTTATGATTACTTAAGTCATGTCAATCATCTCAATAAATCTTACCACATTTAGACGATAAATTTCATGCACTGGATCGAACTGGTACGATCTCTGGAATCTGTCACTTTCTGTTTTGTCTGAATTTTCGAGAACTTCTTTGATTGCTACATAGTGGTCCTTTTCAAGTGAGTCGATAATTTTTCTGTTCCACAGCTTTTCGCCTGTTAAGAACTGAATTTTTGAGAAAGTACTGTTCACTGTTTACCAGTAGAAAAGGTTGCTGTGGAGACCGGTTCCATTCTATCACTTTTTCAAGAGTGAAAGTAGTGCTGGGCTTAAGTTCAGGATAACAGTCATCATTTTGAGGATCGAAAAGCTGAATATTTGATGGTTAATGTCTCGATGATTTCATGTTTACAATTAAATCACAGTTATAATTCTCAAGACAAAACCGCTTCAAATTAGGTTCAACTATATTCCTCAGAACAAGTCTTTCGCACTCGAACTCCGGAAAATTTGAAATTAGAAAAATTCGCACCTCTGTGACCATGATAAAAACGTACTTATGCCCTTTAGGTATGTATGTCAAGGTCACCATTTCCAAGTAACTTCAGGAATCGTAAAGTGACTTTTTGCTTATTATAGTTATTTTCTGACGATGTTAGTTGAAAACTCACACAAAACGTTTTACACACAAAATGTTCTAGTTTGCTTTTCATGGTTAATATCTGACGCGGCATATGTAAATTTTTCTAGCGCTCAATTTGGTTAGTTTGCCCTTATTGGTCATCAGGAAACTATCGATAAATTACTTTGGAAATCAAGGTTTTATGCCTTAATACTGTTGATTTACTATGTCGACTTTGTCTTAGTTGCGTATGTCTGTCATTGGTTCTGTGTTATACTTTAATTATCGTGCGGAACTCCATCATATTTAATAGTTGATAAAATACGTATGACTGTAATTTTAGTCAGGGTTCTATATTATGTGAATCAAACAACAAATATACTTTAGTGTAGACAGGATTATTGATAAAAACATCGGTCAGCAAAATCTAAATCTTACTTTTGTTAATATCAACATCCCCCACTCCTTGCTCACTTTGCATCGTGGAATAGCTTTCAGACCTTTTAGCTCAACACACACCTCCTAGTCTATTCAATCTTGATACGTAGTACGATTGTAAGCTTGGTCTCAAGTGGAATTTGAGGTGCCATTACTGCTGAATTTTCACTATTGATATATGGGTTTTAGCGAACAGTTCATATGAGATTCATTGAGGATTCCTGTTAAACAATTCCCAAAAATATACTGTATTAGTAAGATACTCATAGTCCAAAACAAGTGCCTGCTAATGTCCTAGCCTGTCTTATTACCACATTAGGTTCTTAAAGATGTTAGGTGTCTTGGAAACAGTTAACATATAAAACTGAAAGCTTTATCTCAGTGCAATCAGTGCTTGTCTTTGTTTAATAAGTTTTTAAAATTGTTCTAAATTAGCTTTTCTAATTGCTGGTTTATGGTGCTGGTTGTCATATTTCCCTGATACCAATAACTCGAGGTTAATGCATAATGAACCTCTAATCAGTTACCGCCAAAAAAGATGGTTGAGACATCAGCATATTATCTCTAGATTTGAGTGACATGATCTACTCGAGCTCGCTTTCGAACGATTAAAAGAACACAAAACTATCAACAGTTACTAGTATGGACACTTGCTATTGCTAAAATCAAATTCTTATCCCCACAAATCTGTAGAAAACGACTTATTCAAATGCACTAAGTCCCAGTATTTTTACTAGCAGTTCATTATCGCTTGTTGACAGTCTTGTTAGTCGTTGTGGATACATTTTGAATAATCGTGTATATTGTGTTTTTGAAGCTTTGCTTATTCATATATTCATCTTTCTAAAAACAAAATCTCGTAAAATTAAGTCACACTTGTATTCAGTAGTATTTAGTAGTCCTTCGACCTATAATAATCTCTTGAAATTCTCCTTCCTATTAACATTATCACAAAATCGTTTCATCTTCATTACAAAGTTTCAAACCATCAAACTTTCAGTCATCGAACCTTTGCTTGTAATCCCACTTCATCTACTTTAGTCTGGTATATTGGATAGCATTGTAGCGTTTAAAATTATTTGTTATACTTATTTAAACTGGTCACCAACTGATTATGATTCATGTATCCTATATTTTATCACCCACTAAGGTATTCTTCGCATACTCATGCCTAACAATACTGTGAGTTTATACTAATGAAAAAGTAGCTGTTTACCCTAATTCCAATCGTTTTTGTAAATAGCGCACATGTTGTTCATGAGCTTATCCGAAAGACTTAACAGGTTCCTAAAGTACAATTATATTGGATGAATCGAAAGTAGTTCTTATATAAAAACACTTGATATTCGGTACCCACTACGATGTTTAGAGTCTAGGGTGGGATAAAGACTATAAATGCATTGAGGAGCACCCCTAAACCTATCTCATCCTCAAGTAAGCCATCTACCTGTCTTGCAATCTTCGCAGTAATATAGAAGCAAATATTTCAAAATAAAATATCGGGTACATTCACCAATCATAGCCCCATACTCTGTGTAGGGTGTTTTTGAGGATAACCACAACTGTGCCTTCATTGTAGAGTGATGGAAAACTGGACTTTAAATCTTTTCAATAACGCGACCAGCTATCTACCCAAATTATCGTATTTATTCTTCAAAAGAGGTCAGAGGCAGATCATATGGGCTAAACGTCTCATGACGTTGAAAAACAGAATTTCTCATCTAATTCAGCTTTGTCCTTTTTAGTCGATATTCATTAACCAAAAGGAGTAGCGTGGTTTGTTCAAAGTCTTTCGGATAATATGCCAGTTAATTCATTTTGAAGTGTTCCACGTGGTGTTTTGGACTTCGCGAAAATTACTAATTGACGTCCTGTCAACCCCACGGGTTGCTTCATTCACAGATTCTTGTTACTATTAGATTGAATGATCTGGAATGGCCTGTAGTGCTCACCAGCTACAGCTTCTGTTTTCACCGGAAAAACTTTAGGTCTGGCCTTTTTGCCTTTGCATAGGCCGTTTACATTCTTGCTAGTATGATTTTGAGCTCATCGTTGTACCCTTAATCCGGGAAGAAAATCGATAGGCCTCAGGAAATTCTTATAGAAACCCACAGAAATTCTCTAGTCTAGTAGTACGTAGATAGCTTTCTGTGTTGGATCTCTTAAGATTATTGATCCGGAAATAGACGTAAATGATACTGCACACTTGACTAAGATCTTAAATGCAAGTTCCATATTCAGTGTTGATTCAAAATCAGAGTTTTATAACTCCTAGTAGCACTTTTATGGCCAACAATCTGCTCCGAGTTTCGAGCATGTATTCTCGTCTTATCTCTCGAAAAAGCATTTGGCGCTCGAAAGGTATAAGTAAGACCTTTCTGGAATGATCTGTTGTCTTGCGTATATACTAAGGTGTTTAGTGAGAAAAAAGACCTTTGTCCATACCTGTTATGTAAACTTGGAATATATAGGCTGTCAGTTATCATAGTGAATTTCCGATTGATTAGATTTTGCTTTATCATCTTGAAATCTTCATGAGAAGTAGTATAGGTAGCATCTTTAGAACGCTAGTTTAGTAGTTCAAGCCTTATGGGCTGCAGATTACAGGCTCACTTCAACTATTTTGGTTTAGGTAGTAAATGAACAGTGAATACCGGCTACATATACCAGCAATTTGTTGATGAGTTTTGGCCAGGAAATTATTAATAATATTCAAAATGTACCTATCGTTTTTATTGATCAGTGAATATAAATGTTTTGCTCTCAAACTTTACTTCTCATTTCCTAGGATCACGTTTTCTTAAATAGTTTTACGACTTTTTGTATACGTAGTTAGTTGATAAGAAAGCTAATCTAAGCGGAATATTAGTAAAGGTTTGTAATTTTCAACTGTTTCTATTCAGGACTCCAATTGATCAGTCACTGTTGTCGTATGTCCATCCTAATTATCAACAGTGAGAAATTGTAAACCCTTTGTAGTACTTTTATATTCCTTGAACAAGACAGTGGCCATCTGTGCTTAGTAACTCAGTAGATAAAGCTTTTGTTTTTAAAATATCAGCGTGAACATTAACAGTGAAACGCAGGTACATCCAGTTAATGAATTCAAAATAAAACGCAATATGCATCCTGGGTGCGATTGCTAGCTATATCACGGCAATCCGCTAAAAATACACATGGCATTATAGACTAGTCAATTGCAGTCTTAAATATTAACAACGGGAAATTATGAACCCTCAATAAAATTATACAAACATAAAGATTGACTGGGATTTTTATACAGATCTCTTAAATAAACAGTTCTTTGTGTTGCTTTTGTTATAGGATTTTCATATACATGTGGTTTTTATATATGTTCAAGAGTAAAAAACTAATTATCAGATGGATGTCCACTCAACGTTGATGATACTATCCATCATTATTGTTCTTATAACCGACACATCCACGCCAGATCCAGCGTGGTTTATACTTGTCTATTTATTTACGCTTTTATTTCCGTCTTACTATCATTTTAGCTCATGAAGGAAATAAATGCTCATGTTGGAGAATCATCCTTAATTTCAGAAGATAAGCTTCCTGAAACAAACAATATCGTACCTCAAGAGTTACCCATTTCTTTAACTATTTTACATAATCGCACGAAGCATCATCTGGTTTTCCAATCATCCACAACTATTGCTGAAGTTAAACAGTCTATAGAACCTTTAACACACGTACCTGTAGATATGCAAAAACTAATATTTCGCGGAATATTGTCGGACAATACGACGCTTGGGGAGTTGTCATTACCTGGTAAGGATGCTAAGCTGATGCTGGTCGGTACAAAACCTTCTGAAGCAGAGCAAGTTCGTTTATCTGAAGCAAATAATCATGCTAATGAAGAAATTTTGGATGATTGTCGATCGGAAGTTACGATGGACTGGTCTGACCAAACCGAGCACAAACAAGTTTTAGAACGTTACGGAAAACCGGAGAATGCTATGGTCGGAATATTAAATACAGAAGAAATTTTAGATCCTAATGAATGTTTACTTGGCCTTTGTGACAAACGTGGGCAAGCGTTGAGGTTAAGGATTAAGCCAGATAGTGGAGAATTGTGGTTAGCTACAAAGGATGTAACTCACAAATTCCCTTTAGCCACTATCCATGATGTAGTCAGTCAACCTATTAAAGATCATCCTGAATATCATATAATGGCTTTTCAGTTAGGTCCCACTCCAAAGTCTCGTTATTTTGTGTATTGGCTACCGTCTCAGTATGTGGAGTCGATCAAGACAATGGTATTACAATACAAAATAATTTCTTCATTAAGTGGTGCGACCGGAACGAATAAACCACTTTAAAATTGATCTTTAATTATATATTGTGACCAATCGAATATTACACTGATTTTTAAGAACAAAGCTAGGATCAACGGCTTCAATATTTTTAACATGTGCATTATCTTTACTTTCTCCATGAAGATTACCAACTAGATCCCCTTATTTCTAGATCTTACTAAGGCTTTATTTTTCACCAGCTTCCGAAACTCTTCACCATTACTTAAACTTTTTTTGCGTGAAACCACTGTATTTATATGAATAAGATCAATCAATTATAAACGATGCTTTGCAATGTTCTTGAAGGTTTTACTTGGTGATATTATTTCAAAGTGTGTAACTACTTTGACCGAAAAAGATTTGTTAAAATGGTCTTATGTATTTAAGTGAACGCTCAGATAACAATGTGCTTTGCCACTATTTTTATTGTTTGAAGATCATCCATCCACAAAACAGCAGCTGTCTTAAGATTGTTTTCATAACGTTCGGTTAGAAATACACTTCCTTTAAGAATCTTGATGACCTGCAAGATTATCGTATAACTTATTAGTGTTTTGGATTTCGCTGACTTCTCAGTCAACATAAACTAGTTTCGTTACCGGTCAAAAGACTTAGTTTAAAACTCTTCAACTCATGTCTGTCGATGAACTTTAGCTCAATACAACTGATTGTCTACTTTCATCGTCGTTGATTTGTATCGTGCTTCTGGAAATATTTAAGGGCTCCTTTTATTACCATTGTCCTAGTTAGTTGGTACGCAGATTCATTAAAGGCTTCGAAGCTTGTGATTAGCGTACACAAATAAAGAGCGATTGTCAAACGAGGATATTTAGCGAAGTACTTACTTAGGGAAATTGAGGAACGGAAATAATTCAGGAATAGAGTTGAAAGTTTCTAAACTAGTATATGGTCAGTAAAGAATCAGCCATCAAGATTTGTATCTGATGTAGAGATGCTTTGTACAATGGAGCTATGACTTGGTATTAAAAGGTCTGACATCCAATCTAAATGCTACGGGCTTGGACGATGCTGCAACTAATTTGGATTGAAAAGCCAGATAGTATCATTAGCTCTCATAGTAAGAGCATTAAGTACATAATTCTATGTATAGTAAATGACTTCCATGAATAATTTACTAGCGTATAGCTTGACTTCGTGTACTACGCTCATGGTAAGTGTAATAAAAGTAGTTTATTTCTGGTTAAAAGGATAATGGAGTAATTAATTATTATCGATATAGAATTTCATGGTATTTTCATCGTTTAAATCACGAACTGATTCTAGTTAAACTACCATTGAAAACGAGGATGCACCAGAAAACTACGTCGTCCTAGTATATGACTCCTTAACAGTGGGGATCCACTATCTCACCACAGAGAATCAAACTCAGGGCCCTCTGTCTTACACGAGAATTCCCAACGTCTTGACCACTGATCCAAGATCCAGTCGTATTCATGCATAAATACGAACTACAGCTCTGTATGTTTGTTCTATTTTTATTGCTTTGTTCCATTCGTTGTATGTATGTACGATTGTACAGTTCTGCGAACAGAATGGTCGAACGGTCTCTTCATTGGACTACATCGTTGTTTTCAGAATTTATTTGAAAACATTGCAAGTTGTTATTAGCTCATGAGGACCTAACAAAATAAAATGATTTCATGTTGTTCTGCTCAGAATGCTTCTCTTACTCCTAACAAAAATAATCGGGATTTTGTATACGAAGCTCTTCGAAAAGTTATTCAGGAATGAAATTCTATTAATTGTTCTGTTAATGGAAACTGACTGTTAATAACTGGTAATTACAGGGAATTGGTGAGATTGGGATTTTCCGTAGCCTAGTATCTGACTCCGGTTTGGTTGTGTGAAGGTGCTGTGAGCTTAAATCTTCCAATTAACTCCGTGTATTACCTAGGCTAACCCAATTTGTGTGACGGTGGTAATTAGAAGCCAAATACGGGTTGCGTTAGGTGAATTCATTTTGAGCACTGGTTTATCCAGACAAACATTCAGAATGAAAAGTGGGAAAGTAAAGCGAAGAAGGTGAGTAAGTTATTTCGTTTTGATAAAGCAAGACTCAATACTTATAGTCAGACCAAAGCTACAGATACGTAATGAATCGGCTAAGCAATACGCACACGCTCATATAAAAGCGATCAAGGTTAATAAGTGAATGATTGACAAGGTCCAAATGTGGCTCGAGAAAAATGAATATATTGGTCTCTCCGAAAACTAGAATAATCCTCCTGGGCTCGACATATTACTAGACACAACAGAGTCTTAGTCATTAAACACTAACTTGATTCGCCTCTATAGTGTTCTTCGTTCCTCCTCACCTATTTTGCTGCACGTTACACTACTTATCAATAGTCAGTAGTTTGAATTACTTAGACTATTTTCGTAGCCAGCTTGCCGTAACTGATATGTCTGTTTGGTGTCAGCTATGTGCTTATCTTCATTTATTCTTCCTCGTTCCCACTACTCTTAAAACCTGTCTTGAAAGACCTGTACATTTTTTAAATTTTCTACCAGACATGTGTTGACAGTCACTAACAGATGAGTGCTACTTATTATTCGTGAGTATTTTCCTTTCACTGTGTTTTCGACAGCGTATTTACCACCTCATAGTTCAAGCTTTGCAAACACAGTGTTTATTTTGTTTTTCATAACTACCACACTCAAACAGATCTAGTCGTGATGTTTCTCGAATGTTAAGCGTAACTTCGTTGTTTAGACTTATAAAGATTTTTTATATGTAATTACTGTGGACAATTGAATCTAATAAATGAGTTGTGCGAAAAAATCCCAAAGTAAAGAACTCGATTTATTGCATTTCCGGCATTATTATGATAAATATAGTGAGGTGTTAATCACATTGCTGATGAAAGTATTATGAATAAGGGAACAATGTGGTTTTTATTTATTGAAATTTACATTTATTAGTTTCAAAATTCACGTAATCAGGAAAATAGACCGAGGTAGTGGTATTCGTCATATTTAACTCACAAAAAGATGGAAAGTTGGTGTCGACTACACACCGAATCACATTAATTTCATTATAATGATGACAGGGATAGTGTGTTATCTAGTCTTGTAACACTGACTGAATAATATCGATCATGTTCCGGCTTAGCTACATATCTTAGTGACTGCATGACATTAGTCACTACTCGGCAACCAGTCAATCGTAAATATCTCTGTCCTACAGGATGCCAATCGCAGTCATAACATTTCCGTGATAATATCTCTAACTTTGAACCTGAATGATGCAAGTTCCAATCGATCACCGATTATCAATTTCATCAAAATTAAAGGCATACCTTACCGACGAGTTTCTGTTACCATAAAACCTAGATTCAGAGTTTCCTAGCAACCAGATAATATCTCAAAACTGTGTAGATGAGGTCGAGTCACTTAGACCAGTGGCAGTCGCTGGTTATCACCAATAAATTAGACAAATGTGGTAATTTATGGACGAAGCAATCACATATAAGATAATAGGTCTCGGATTTTGGTGCGAAATTCACTCATCCATTTGGATAAATAGAGTTTTGGCATTATAGCTGATGTCAGTTCGTAATGAAAACCCTAAATCTAGTCCCTAGTCTTAATCATCAGCTGTAAATCATAATTCTAATTCCACACACAGGTCTATATCCTTCATTTGGTCCTGGTTATTAGGTGGACACTCTCAAGGTCAGTCGTTTAAGGGTCATCCACAAATTATAGTCTCATCGACTTTTGTTTTCTTTGTGAATTCTCTAATTATTTGATTAAATATGGACTTTTTTGTTGTTTTTTTAAATGCATAATTCTGGCTATTTCCAAATAATGATCTGTTTTAATATCAATGATAATAATAGCAATTGTAATGAGAAATTTACATTTGACTTCAAACGAATAGATTAATGGAAAGGATAAACAGATAGATTAATTTATGTTCATTTGAAGAATGTTGTTCTTCATTCATTAAAGCATTGGCATATTATTAATACTATCATCATTGTTTTATGCATATTTCAACAGAAATAGATATTGGATAAGTGAATTGTTAAGAGCGAGGAGTATTTTGAGTAAAGTGAAACTTGTATACACTAAATTTCAGAAAAAAAGTAAATGGAATTTTCATAACTTCATTTCGCAATTTTATTTCACAGACCAGTACAAATAATGTTGAAACATCGTCCTGACCGAATAGAAATACAGAAAAACTTTAGAAATTATAATCATAAACTATGAACCCAAGAGAGAGAGATGCAAAGTTTTATTAAACTTATATGACAACTAGCCGCGAACGATGATATCCAATTATACAGTTCACTGAAATTCATGAGGGAATTTCTTCCTAAACGAATCATGTCAGTATTTATCATAATCATTATTGGATTTATTCAATATTATATTTTTAGTACAATATAGAATTCCTAGCCTTAAGTATTTCAACAAGTTCCCGTTTCTTATTTCTTGATCGATCCTGACGATAAATGTTAAGTGGTTGCTAGTTAGAAGTTAACAGTTCAAGAATCAACATATGAACAATGTGCATTCTTTTCGCTACATATTGCCAGCAACTACGATTACTCCGATTGTGCTTTTTCCTAACCTGTATAGCGAAAGGTTGTAAAATTTTCAGAAACGCACCTGGATAATTTATGCGATTAATAGCCATAGTGATGTATTAAAACAAACTAGGAAAAAGATAGCTTGTTGAAATATCCAGATGGTAGAAACAGGACAGAGTGGGTTGGAGAATGCTGGTCGGCGGCCTATGCTCCATTAGGAGTAACAAGCGAAAGTAAGTAGGTAAGAAACGGGTAGCCCAGATATTCAAGCAGACCGCCCAAAAGAACTAAATATTGATTAATGTATATTAACTTAATTGTATTTTGTATAATCATTTTGTTTTTGAAATGGGGAGCGCTTTTTATTCTCAATAATGACCGTTTAACCACTTAGCCGAAATTATCGAACAGCGGACATCTTGTAAACTGTAGTTTCGGTTGACTATGATCAAATAAGTTTTTCAGTTAAAGAATAGTATTTGTACAGGTTATTACATAAGATATCAGTGAAATAATATTCAGTGATCTATACATAATAGTTATTCTAGAATTTCCGCAAACTGAAAAAAAACGTGATGAATCTATATTAATTAAGTTTATACCCTAACAATGTTGAGTTAAGTTGTTTCCTGGTATGGTATTTGAATGAAATAATATGTGGTTTGTACAATATTGTACGCTTTACTTGTGATTCTGATACTGTCTTTTATTGTATTCAAGCGTCGCTCCACTAGTAACCTATGGAGTACATTTCAATAAATCTATGAACTTTTATATCATTATACAGATTCAGAACTATTACTTATTCTACTCAACCGGAATATATGATAATATATCAGTCAAATCACTGGTTCGAGTTATGTATGATTTTGAATTTTGTTTTAGAGTTAACTGGAGAAACATGGTTATTTAAGTTCTGATTATTTCTCTCATTTTCTCTCAGTTACAAATGAACACGCCAGTCAGAATAAGTAATGAGGATAGTCTTTGTGATGTATTATAAGCATATTATCTAGTAATGTATCAATAGTAAAGTTCAATTACTCTGAGAAAAGAGTATACAGACTATAGGTTTACACTGTTCAAGTTACTGGACATTCGTATCTTTACTGGAAAGAATTTTCATGTCTCACCACATTGTGACAAGTGTCAGCAATAAGAAAAGACAAACGAAAAACCACCAACTTTATGTCACTTTTCAAAAC